ATTTGCATGGAAGTTGGGAACATGTGATGTGCAGTGTTAATTAGAGTTACCTGTGGAGGGGGGGGAAAAAAAAAGTTGTCATTGATGGAAGATATTTAATACCAAGACTGATTTACAGCTCTGTTTTCATATCTTGTAAGACAAGGTTTAAGAAGCAAAGATTTGTTAACCAGGCACTTCATCCTCTAAAACTTCCTAATGCTTTTGGTGCCTTGCACTACAGATTTATATCTTTTTGATCAATTTGACTTTTCTTTTTTGGTCATTGAGGTTTCTCCCAGCAAGTTCCACTACAGGCTGTCTGAAAGGGCTTTGTGCTCAGTGCAGAGCAGGAACTCCTCTCCCCTGGTGTGACTTTACAGTGGCACTGCTTCTTCAGGGTAAAGTAACTTCAGACATTTCTGGCTGTAAGTGGCCAGGAATTAGCTGGATAAATTGCCAATTCCAAACTCCAGCATTAGAATTGTCCAGCACTCGTTTCTCTGTTATACCTGACACGTGGGATGTCATGCTCTCCTTTTAAACAGAGAAATATAAAGGTTGTTTAGCCTAGAAAATGGATTGAATTTAAAATAACAGGCACAATGGCCTTAATAGTGGCTACTTACGTTAATGTTTCCCATTTGGAAGCATTTCTGGTTAGGGCTTGCTCTGGTAGTTATTACTGCCTCTTCTGCAAAATGTAATTGTGGAATAAATTTACTTTTATTGAACCCTTACTTATCCTGTAAACATGGAATATTAAGCTAAAAGGCATCTGCTGTAAAAATGTAAGCTGCTATATATCTCAACAACTTCTACTTGTGTTTCTTAAGGTAAAAGCAAATACTTGCTCACACAAAACTCCCAATTTTGCATTGTTTTTTTCCCCCAAGTAGTTAAAACAGGTATTTATTTAAACAAATGCTTGTCCCAGCTGATGTTTTTCACTCAGCCATCAGCATTCCAACTTCAACTGAAATCAATTTTCTGTCTGTCCATCAGTGAGGGAAAATTTCCTGTATTCCCATCTTTTGCACAAGTGGCAGGTTTTAACTGAACCTGCTGTTTACTCGTTCTTGGACGTGCAGAGGAGATGAATGGTCTTACACAGGTTTTTATGAGAAACCAGTTTTGATTTAAATTAGTGGTAATTGGAGAAGAGTGTTTGCAGCTCCTAAAGTATGCAACACCCGTGAACTGTGATCACTGAGAAGAGAAATGGCACCAGATGTTACGGATCTTGTATGCCTGGAGTCATCCCTTTTAATATCCCAAGCTTTCCTTGGTGGAAGCAAAGAGCAGAGGAATGACTGTATTCCCTTCCTTTTGGGAATGAAAAGTGATCAGACTGCTGATACCTTTGTGTGTTTTCCAGGACCCACCTTAGGAGCAGGGAGAGATCAGGTCTCAGCCTAGATGAGGTTTCCCTCAGCTCATCTCTTGGAGCTGCTACAGAGTATTGTCAGTTTTCTGATGTGGAGCTGGATGAGTCTCCCACCTTGTGCCTTGAACTTCTCCTGGGGGATATTTTCCCCTCAGGTCTCTGCCTTTCTCATCCTTGTCCTTGGATGGATCTGCACTGGTGAGGTCGAGCTGATGTGTGAGCAGTGCTTTGAACCAGGGCAAGACAGCTGTGTCAGCACAGCTCTTGTGGTGCCAGCGTTCCTAACAGGGGTGAGCTCCCAAACGGAGCACCAAGAGGGGTCTGTTCTGGAGGCACAGCTCTGCTCCTCCCACGAGGGAATTCAGTCCTCTGCTCCTCACCCCCGAGAGCCGAACGCGAGGGCTTTGCTTGGGAACGATGAGCGCGCGCTCCCTTTTTTCTGTTGGAAAACGTGGTGGATTGCACGGAAATCCCGAGAGCTGGGACGTGGAAACATCCATGTGCAGCTCCAAGCTCTCCTGCTCAGGGCTCCCTGAAATCCAGGCCAGGGAGGGAGCGGGAGGTGCTGAGGAATGACTGGGTTTTGACTAACAAAAAGTAGCATTTGAGATGAAAGTGGCAGGGGGTGGGAAGGTTAATTTTGTTGTGGTGCGCTAGGTCAGGCATGGAAGAAGAGGCATTCAAGCCAAGAGCTTTCCCTCCCAACTCGGAGCAGAAATTTCACATGCTTCTAATTATCAATGCCTTCAAGCAGAATACAACTCCCAGTCATTCTGGCTCGTGGAATTAAATTTAAATGTATAAAAAATAAGTGTCAGTTCCCCTAGAAGACCAAATATATGCTAAGTATCAGTTCTCCTTCTTTACAACTCTTAAGTATCCATGGCATATCCCTGTTTATTTGCAGAAGACTTCTTGACTTTGCACATAAATTTTGTTTAGTTTTTCATACTACTGATTACAATAAAATCTGTCACAAATTGATGGCTTGAATATTTAAAAGTACAGACAAATTGATTTTTAGAAGTAGTTGAAATGCTTCTCTCTCTGAATTGTTTTTGATATCTGCCATAGATTTAAGTTGTATTCATCTGTTTTAGAGATATGTTTTAGAGACTATTAAATTCAACTGTTGTGTTCAGAAGCAGCACTGGAATGAGACAGAACCTGAAGGCTTGGGGAAAAAAAATAATTCTGCTTTCTCAGATTTTTTATTCAGTTTATAGGACATCATTGTTCTGATGGAGTGAGGAGCTAAGGAATTTGAGGTGAAGAATGGTCTATTTTGACCCCACCTGTGTCCAGTTTGGGGCCCCCGGTATAATGATGTGGAGATGCTCCAAGGGTGGAGCCCCTCTGCTCTGGAGCCAGGCTGGGGGAGCTGGGGGTGCTCACCTGAAGAAGGCTCCAGGGAGAGCTCAGAGCCCCTTCCAGGGCCTAAAGGGGTTCCTGGGGAGGGACTTGGGACAAGGGATGGAGGAACAGAATTTAGGGAACGGCTTCCCACTGCCAGAGGGCGGAGGGATGGGATATTGGGAAGGAATTGTTCCCTGTGAGGGTGGGGAGGCCCTGGCACAGGGTGCCCAGAGCAGCTGGGGCTGCCCCTGGATCCCTGGAAGTGTCCAAGGCTTGGAGCACCCTGGTGCTTTGCTCATGTTCAGGTCGTGTGTTTGAGTTGCCACGTTCAGACTGCCTTGGGTTTCTTTCCTTGTTCCTTCCCCTTCCTTGCCCAGACTGTGCTGTGTGTGTCAATGTGATACCAACACCTCACACTGAAGAGGTAAATGTTTTCCTTGGTTAATTATCTCTCCCATGTGAGAGCCTGAGCTTTTGCAGACGAGGTAGTTTTCATTCATGTGTGGTTTTTGTTCAGTTTTGGTCTTAATTTAGGTCTTTACCACATATGATGAAGAGAAATCCATGTGCGTGTGTTAAAATCTGACCTTTGGTTTGCTCTCTTCACTCGCTAATGTATTTTAAAATATTTTAATATATGGCTTCCCAGGCTCCAGATCAATAACCCAATGGGTCTGAAATGACAGAGTGCTACGATATTCCCCTTTAATTTAAACATGATTAGCTGATGAAGGTTATGATCAATATGCTAGGATAAGATAAATTAATTGATATCATCCTTTCAGGATGATAAGAGGCCTATTGGAGGTGGGATGTAACTAATGAAGCTGCTTCTTCATATATATGAGCCATTCTTCATACAATGTATTCTCACTAAATCATGGTTATGCCATCATTCATTTACATGAAAAACATAAGCCACAGACCAGTTTGTTATTAAAATTGCATTCATTTGAGAAGAAACCATGCTTACACTGTCCCTGCCTGTGCTGTAATGTAGTGAGGGAAAATGATCTTGGAATTTACATGATTATCTTCTTGTGTTTTCTGAACGAGACACACTGGGTTCTGTTGGCTTAATCCCAGTTAGTTTATGGGGGACTTTTTAAGGAGATGCCAAAAATTGTCACTGGTTTTGGTGGAGGTGTTGCAAGTGACTGCAGACTCTTTGGCACAAGTTTCATGAAGTAAACTGCATGCAAGTAAGCTAGATTTAGTTAGTGGCATTTTTGATTAGCCACTACACAAGTACCTGTTTCCAAAGACTGAAATTTTTATTAGTTTTAAATTTGTGACTCAAAAGGTTGCAAGAAATTTTATTTTTACGTGTTTATGGCATAAAAAGAGCTCTTTCCAAAGGCTTTAGCTGAATTACCAGCATGAACTCAAGTTCCAGTCTGTGATGGGATGAATTTCTGAAATAGTTTGACTTATTTAAATGGAAAAACTGTAGGAGAGATTTGGAAGTTGCTGCATTTCACATCAGTTCTGTTTGATCTTTTTCTTATTATGAGTCTGCCAGGCTGTGTATAGAGATGTTAATGGCTCTTATCCCTGTATCCATTAGATAAATGCTGCTTTTCCTTCCATGCTGAAGAAAATGTCTTAATAAATTGTAAAACAAATGATGCATTGTCCAGCTGTGTTGCTGCTGCTAAGGAATAAAAGCTAAAATTAGAAATAATGATTCTTTCCATAAAGAATTTTACTGGGATGTGTGGTACCACAGTGCAGGTATTTATTTGATGTCAGGGAGCCTTTATCAGTACTAATCCAGTTATCTTTGGTTTGGGCTCCAAAGTGAATTGCCCTGGTGCAATGGCTGGTAAAAAAGGGAAATCCATCTAATTCCTTGGCAGCAGAGACCAGGTACCTTCTGTCTGCCAGGAGAATATCCCAAAGAAGAACAGAAAATGTTTGCTGCTGTGAGCTTTGCTAGTGTGGTGTTATATGCACAGAGGGGTCTTGGTACAGAATTCCTGGTATTGCTTTTTGTAATTTTTTCCCCCAAGTCCTCTGGTGCTCACCTGGTGGAGTGAGACTTCTGGAGTCACATCCTCCATGTGGAGAACCTAGCTGGGGTCTGCAATGGAGCATCATGGAAAAACCAGCGCTCTTTGTATTCCCTGTAATTGTAATACACTCAATTTTTGGAGCAGGCTTTGGTGGTGGAACCCCATCTCCCCGTTTGTGTGTTGTTCATTGTGTGTTTTCCCGTCGTGCCCTGCTCTCCACGCGTGCTCTGCCTCACCTGCCTGGATGTTTTGTTTCCCTTCAGTTGCCCAGAAGATCGTTTCCACCAAGAAGAAACAGCAGCTCTCAATTGGACCCTGCAAATCTCTACCCAACTCTCCGAGCCACTCCTCCGTGTGTTCTGCCCAGGTTTCTGCCGTACATATCAGCCAGGTACAGATAAAATAAATGCTTGGAAAAGGAATTGATGAGCTGCTTTTCATCTCTGATGTGTTTTGTGCCATTTCAAGTGCTCTTTTTGCTGATCAAGAGGTAGTTGCTGTTTTTTTAATGCTGTCAGTGATCTGTAGTTTGAAGTGATATTTGAATTTTTTTTTTAGACTGGCTTTAGTTCAAGAAACAAAGTAGCAAAGCAGAATAATTTGGCTTTAGAGCCTGCTTGGGTTGATAAGCCTGCCTTGATCATTCTCATTGATACCCAGCAGCCTGCAGCTCTGAGTAGGCCAATCATTGCAGTCACAGGATTTGCTGTGCTGTGGTTTAACATCCCCTCACTGTGTTCTTGCTGGTTACTGTCACTCAGCTGTGCTGAGCTGGTGTATCCCAGCTTGGTTAGAGTGCTGGAATTTTACACTTGATGGTATTTTAAGAAATACATGGTTAATACCAAAATTTTCTGACTTGTACAACTTTTACCCACGTGTGTTGCATGCTCCCCTGCGTTTCCCTGGCGATGCCCTTCCTCAGTGTCTTTGTTTTCTAGTGTCAACTGGTAATCTCTGAGCATGTCCCCATTTGGGATGTAAACATAAACATTGTGACGTTTGGGCTATAAACTGAATGATGTCAGACACCCACAGCCATTCTGGTGTGGTTTTCAGTCCAAACACAATAATAAGCAGCTTATTTTGCAGTCCTGAGCCACACATGTGAGGATTTGTTCTGACTACGGACCTTTATCCCACACAGTTCCTGCTTTTTGGCAGAAGGGAGTTTTTCCCACTGAGTTATAACCCTAAAGATGCAATTGCCAGTTCAGTCTTAAAAGTTCTCTGCTGGGAGTTACTTTGCTTCCAGCTGAGTCCTGATATGACCTTAGACTGTGACTGTGGTTTTTGCTGATGAGCCCAAAGAGAATGCTGGGGTTGAGACCCCGCTTTCTAAAGCAGGTGCTGAGTGAGGTTTGTTGCTCTTCAGAAGAACCCTGGTGCCTTCTGGTGAGGTTACAGCTTCTCACATGGGAGAGGTTCTTCCCTCTCCAGGTTTCCTCAGCTGCTCTGCCTGAGCAGTTCATGGCCACAGGCCCTTGGAGCTCGCCCTCTCTGAGGGCATTTAATGAACCTTTTTTTGATGAAGGACATCAAATATCTGGGTGCTCACTGATTTCCTACCCAAGTCTAGTTGGAAGGTCAACAGCAAACACCAAATTCTAGACCAGTACTATCACCTATGCAGCAAACTTCTTGCCAGTGATAAGAAGTGTTTGGGAAAATCAAGGCAAGATAGCTTTTGTGGTAAGGCTCCCCCGATTCTGTTTCAATAAAAGTGAAATAATGTTCTCTACTGCTTTTGCCACGTGTCATAATTACCTAAAGGGGCAATTGCATCACCAGTCATAGATGTCTCTCTTTTGAGACTGATGTCATGCCTAAAAGTAGAGGCCAGAAATCTGTTTCATGTCATATCTCCTTTGTGCTACACTTAAAGGCAGTATGACCTTGTTTAAGGGAAGGAAGCTGAATCCTTATCCCAGACTTAAAAGAACTTTGCAACTGCAATTCCAAGTTTAAGATGATCTGGGGCAAGATTTGCCATCTCTGATCTTGGCTGGAAGACTGGCTGGTGTCTTGCCCTTTGGAACATCTCTCTTGGCGTAATGATGTTTCTCTGAAGATTTCCTCCATGAATCAAACCCGTTATCGGTGCAGTGCCCTGCCACTTGCATTCTCCACAGGAGCAAAGGCCTTCAGAGGCAGTGGTTACATGCAGCACTTCAGATAAAGTCAGATATTGTTCTATCTCTGGTTGGATCATCCTGGGGATTGAACTCCTGCAAACTCTCCAGATGACTCTGCAGTCAAAAGCTTAGGCTTTAGAGAAAGAAAAGAAAGAATCGAGTGTCACCTTAACCAGGATAGTCCTCAGCATATCCCAGGGGGAATTCTAAGGCTCAGCACCATCCAGGGTGTCTGTGGTTTCAGTCTGCCAGGCTGGGCAGGGCTTGGAGCAGTCTGTTCTGGTGGAAGGTGTCCCTGCCCATGGCAGGGTGTTGGAATGAGATCAGCATTAAGGTCCCTTCCAATCCAAACCATTGTGGGATTCTGTGAAAGACTTGTCTGTGTGTTTGGGTGCTTCTCTCTCTATCCACATGTCCAGGAGTCTGAGGTGGTGAATGCCTCAGTAAGATTCCTTTACAGAAAATGCTCTCAGGAATATCTACAGTTACTCATTTCCAGAAGCCTGTTCCACACAATAAGATACTTCCTATTCCAGAGACAAAATCCGCTTGTCTTTGTAGTAGATGCAGCTTAATTTTCCTCCTGCCTTAGTTTTTAATGTGTATGCCAATCAAGGGGAAGGTTTTCCTTGAAACCCTTGATATCCAGAGCCAACAACCCTTGGAAGTACTTTGGGTACCTTTGTTGGCTTTTAGGGCAGCACAGAATGCATGGAGAGAATTTTATTCTCAAATCCAAGGATTACCATCCATGATGGACAGAACTGTTGTATACTCTGTCAACAAGAGGGATGGTGCAACATCGCTTACATTCTGTCGATGCATTCAGGTATTCCAGTCACAGCTCACTGTCTGGCTTTTTGGAACACTTCAAGAGGGACTCTGAGCTGTTTAGAGGGGAAGAGGTGTTGTGCAGTGGATTGGAGGCTTCTTATTGGCCACAGGGCATCTTGGAATAAGTTTTAATTTCCTTTTTACAGGTACAGACCAGTTGCTTCTATATCTGTGTGCTCTGCGTGTCTATCCCACTGTTCATTCCCTCATTCCCCAATCCCTTGATGATATTTGTAGGTGTGATATGCTTGTATACCATGCTAAGTCTAATTTCAAAGAAGAATGAGTTCCTTTTTCCCTCACAAAACCCCACAGAGGCATTCTTTTTCCCTAAATTCATCCTGGTGCTAGAGGAATTGTTTGTCCTTTACACCTGACACATCAGGAGGGCAATTTTAAGATATTAACTTAGAAGAATAGTGCCAATAAAAGCAGTCCCAAAGGGCTGTTTCCTCTGCCCAGCACCTGGAGGTGGAGATCACCTGGTTCTCAAACCCATGAGGCTGCTCAGCTCCACCTTTGGTCCTCAGTGCCTGTGTGTGGGGGCTGGATAACCTGCTGAGGGGTTACCTGCAGCTGGGCCTGAGTCTGAGTTTGCACTGCTTGTAAAAACAGCTGGAAAATCCTTTGGCACAACAGCTGTCATTGCTCTTTGTGTCAAAGTCTCCAGGCCCCTCTCCAGACAAATTGATGTGCAGATTCTAGCCAGGAATCCCCAGAAGTGTGAGCTTAATTGTGAACTGTTCTTTTGAAGGTAAAGATGGAAAGATTGTTTTACCAGGGACTATAATTCCTTGAAATCTGCAGTCTGCATATGTTTTTGCATTGGCTGGCTTCCCTGAAATTCAGCTGTTACATTCTGCTGCAAGAGGAGATTGAAAATGGCACCATGTTTCCATGTCTGCCTGGTCTTCATACATTCCTCTATGACAGAGGGACCTGACACACCCTTTGGTGAAGAAATTTTCCTTGAAATACAATCTAAATCTCCTCTGGTGCAACTTGAGGCCGTTCCCTCTCCTCCTGCCTCCATTCCCTGGGAGCACAGCCTCACCCCGCCTGGCTGTCCCCTCCTGTCAGGGAGTTGTGCAGAGCCACAAGGGCCTCCTGAGCCTCCTTTGCTCCAGGCTGAGCCCCTTTCCCAGCTCCCTCAGCCTCTCCTGGGGCTCCAGCCCCTTCCCCAGCTCCATTCCCTTCCCTGGACACGCTCCAGCCCCTTGGTGTCCATCCATGTGGACTGCAGTGCCAAGAGCTGTGTTTCCTGGTCAGCAAAGTCATTCTCCAAAGATATCCAAAGATATTATTCCTGGGAAGGGTGTGGAGTTTAACATCCACTACAAAGCTGCAGCTCAGGTGTGGCTGCCACACAAGCTCACTCCTTACTACCTGTTGCAAATCTGCAGTGATGCATTATTTACATTTGCACAATGCCTCCAGACAGTTTTTACTGCAGCACAATTGTCCAAAAAACATAAACTATGAAAGTGTGCTCAGCTTGGTCATCCATTGTTTCATTGTATGTGAGACCTGATTATGGATAAGCTTTTTGGAAATTTTCTGGAATATCAAAACTAAAAGAAGAGTGGTGATTTATTTAATGCCAGATGTATCACAATCCTTTTGTGTTTGCAGGGTTGTTTCTAAGTAACTTAATACTCATCTAGAAGAAGCACTTTAGATACCTCCCTGTGAGGGTGCTGAGGCCCTGGCACAGGGTGCCCAGAGCAGCTGTGGCTGCCCCTGGATCCCTGGAAGTGTCCAAGGCCAGGCTGGACAGGGCTTGGAGCAGCATGGAAGATGTCCCTGCCCGTGGCAAGCAGTTGGAATTAGATGATCCTTGGGGTTCCTTCCAGCCCCAACCATTCCATGGTTTCCAAGTGTTTGTCTGTTGTGTTTTTCATTGTTCCAGTCAGTGGCTTATTCTGAAATCACCTCCGTTTTATTTACAAAGTTGGAAATCCACTGGGCTTGGTGTGTGAGAAGAGAAACATTGCCTGCAGGACTTCTCTTATAGAAACTCTCTATGTGTCTTTGGGGAATAGTATATCCAACAGGGTTGTTTTCCTTTAGGAGTTACTCACTCCCAGGAAATAAATCACTTGGAAATCCAGGAGACAGTTACAAAAAATTTAAAATTATGAAGGATTTAAAAGCTAAAATTTTAGGGACTCCTTCATGTTCTCCATTTGGGAAGTAGGCTCTTAGGGTATAAATCTGTTCATTTCAGTTAAGAAAAAAAAAAAAGGATTTCCTTGCCACCTTTCTCATCTCCAACACATCCAGTGGTTTGGGAACAACTGCTACAGAGACAGGAAAAGCAAAAGTGAGGTAATTCATTAAAATTCTTCCCAGCTTGTCCTGCTCATCTGTCCAGTGTTACCATTCTTCATTAGGACACTAAAAATGTTCATTTCAATTACGTTGTTTCATCTCCTATATTTTGTACACATCTCCCAGTTCTGCTGCTACTTCCTCTGGCTTTTGAGAATGTTGTAGGGAATCTCTCTCTGGCCCCACTGTTGCTTTCAGTGCCTTCACCTCTGCTCCCTGCTTTGGAAAAGCTGCAAGAATCAGAAGAGAACTTGGAAGATGGAGAAACTTCAGCTGGGGGTTTAAGGGATTGTCTCCTTCTTTTTCATCCTGACTGGTTGCAGCTTGAGATCTCGATCCCCAAGGAGCATGGGGGAAGTCCCATCAGGCATCTTTCTCCTCAGGAATTTTGGAAACACCCTCTTACCACCTTTCCTGACTTCCTCTAGGAAACTTGGCTGCTTTAAATATGGCTTTTCCCCGTTCCTTCTCTGTGCATCCCAATTGTTCCTTTTCCCCAAAAAATTACATGTGAGTTGTTGCCCAGCCCCTTCATCCACTGCTGTTCCTCTGCTGAGTTTTCCATCCACAGTTGGCAGAATTTTCCCTGTTGTCCTGCCCCAGTCCCCCATCTAGCACATAGAGCATCTCCTCCTTTAATGATGTTTTTAGTACTTATGTCATGTGCAATAAGTCCTTTTAAAGAAAAAATAAGATGTTTTCTTAATCACCTTTTGGTCCTTTCCATTCTGTCTGGTTTCCTCACCTCCCTGCTTTTAGCAATTTGTTACTTCTGTTCATTTGTTTTATAGCCTCAGTGCTTTATTTCTTTCAGGACTAGGATGTAACATCACAGTTCTGGCTGCCTTGAATAAATTAGAATATCTTATTTACAAGTTTTGTATCTTTGCACCAGCAGCTTCAGCAAATCCTGTGCAGGAGTTGTCTCAATTATCCTTGTGGGTCCCTTGCAGTTCAGGAGATTCTGTGATGCTTGGAATATGTTGGGCTTTATCCAGCCCTGTAGTAGCCTTTTGACAGCCCTGAATTATTTTCATTTTCTTGATCAGCTCTCAGTGATCTAGTGTCTCCAGAGTAGGTTTAACCTAGCTATGCAGGTCCATGGCACTGGATATTTTCTGTTAGAATTTAGTTTAGTAGAAATCCAGCTTTGGAAGGTTTTCCCCAATGTTTTGCTTACTCATACACTAGAAAACAAATCAAACTATTGATACCCAGTTAAGGTTATACTGTGTAGAATGAAAATGTGCCTGCTATATAAACAGAGCTGTCTGAGTATTCAAAAAATAATGGCAAGGGGAGATGTTTAAAGGCTTGGAATAGAAATGTGTGGAAAAGTGGCATTAGGGCAGCTCTGCTGAGCCCCTGAGCCCTGGCTGCTCTTCTGCATAAATTTGGAGTAAAACAGGAGTAAGTAAGATAAGATACAGCTGTGGATTGTCATTTCTTGAAAGCAGTGTACCACTGTTTAAAACTCCCTTTAATCCTTGCAGACCAGTAATGGAGGAGGGAGTTTAAGTGATTATTCCTCCTCTGTCCCATCAACTCCAAGCACCAGCCAGAAGGAGCTGCGGATTGATGTTCCTCCCACTGCCAACACACCAACTCCTGTCCGTAAACAGTCCAAGCGCCGATCCAACCTCTTCACGGTGAGTGAGCCAGGGGCCCTGTGCTGCTGTGCTGGGTGTGCTGCTGTGGGGACAGCCTGAGCCTCAGCCCTCTGCAGCTGGGCTGCCCTGATCCACACTGCAGCACTCAGATGGATCTGTGGGCTTCAAACAAAAATATCCTGGAGTTATCATTCCGTGGTTCTGTCTGAGACTTAACAGCAGCACTTTTCCTAGGAAAACAGGCTGAGACTTGAGGTTGATCAGCCTGGAGAAGAGAAGGCTCCAGGGAAACCTCAGAGCCCTTCTCAGTGCCTAAAGGGGCTGCTGGAGAGTGACTTGGGACAAGGGCCTGGAGTGATGGGACCTCCACTGACAGGGCAGGGTTAGATATTGGGAAGGAATTCCTCAGTGTGAGGGTGGCACAGGGTGCCAGGACAAGCTGTGGTTGCCCCTGGATCGCTGGAAGTGTCCAAGGCCAGACTGGACAGGGCTTGGAGCAGCCCAGGATAGTGGAATGTGTCCCTGCCATGGCAGGGCTGGGACTGCATGGGCTTTAAGCTCCTTCCCAAACAAAACTATTCCATAACTACCCCATGCTACTTTTATTACTGTACAGAATCAGATCACTTTTCTCTTCTCCAGGGTTAAAAAAGATAATGGAGATTGAAGTAACTTTTTTTCTTTCCAAACCACCTGTTTTTTGCTTCACCAAAAAACTCAGAAATCAAACAAAAAAAATAGAAAGCTGCCTGGTGCAATACGACAGGTCTTTGTTATGCAGTAGTAGTTTGGGAGATGCTAGTGAAGCCCTGAGTGAAGGTTTCCTTGGTTTAAGCTCCCTTGCTGAAAGCTTTGGGATCATGTTGCAGGTGTAATTGTGGTTTGTAAGCGCTTTTTTGGCAGTTCACACACATTGTAGCAAACACAGAATCCCTCTGGGCTCTCCTGTAACTGCCCTGGGAGCTGCAGCCTCATGTTAGTTGTGTTTAGGAACCCCCACAACTTCCCTGTCAACATGGAGAATTTATATATTTTATTCCAAAGGTGATGTCATGCTCACTTCCCACATACAAACCCAATAAAACCATTTCCTCATAATCTGAGGGAAGTCTGAGCTCTCCACCTTCAGCAACTGGAAAGTTTTGTCACCGTTTTGGAGTGACAGCACAGAGCCCCAAGGATCCTGTGTGCATCCCAACAGAGGTATTTTGATTTAAACCCAAATCTCCCAGTCCTGTAAAGGAGAGGAGATCGTGCATTTGTGTTTGGGTGCAAATGTGTAGGTGGAAAACAATAAAATGAGTAGCCTGGGAAGAATTGCCCCAGCTTTGACACTGATATTTGATAACATTTGTGCTGATTTCTTCCCATTGGTGGGAATAATCTGGGGTTTGGTGGGAGAATTACAGAGTTCCCAACCCCACTAGATGTCAGTGTCAGCCCAGAAACCACCAGCAGTCAGAGCTCTGGAAGCAGAGCTGAGCATCCCTGAAAACATCGCTGAGCATCCATGTCCGGGCTGAGGGATGTGTGAGGTGCTGCCAGGGCTCTGGAGGTGGTGTTGGCATTTGGGGAATTGGGGAGGTTTCAGTTTGGAGCAGCTGAAAATTTGAGAAAGGGAGGAGAGAAAAACAGACCCATCTACAGTCACAGGAAAGGTTTGGGGAGAATGTTAAGTCAGCTGTAAGCAAACAGCCTAAAGCTCTGCTTTGGGATAATGAGTGAGAACTGTATTTGCTATATGAGAGGGTGTTGATAGTTGACTTAATATCTGATAACTGGGAAAAATAATAATAATAATAATTTGCCTTTGCAGAATTAGTTGTGTCGTTTAAGGTGGATATAGTGAGATTGTTTAATGAGATGCCCTGTAATCTATGTTCTGAAGTACTTAACACCTTCTCTGCTGTAACCCAGCTTTTGTGCCAAGTTATAACCTGGAATTGTTTAATTGAATAAATAGATAATCAGTATTTTCTGTGTAGTTATGAACAGAAGGTGTAATTAAAATATTTTACTGTTTAGCTCTGGGTTTATTGCTGTGTTTCTCTTCCCAGTCCCTTATGAATTTATCTCTTACAGAATCAGATATATTCTGTTTAATAATTACAAGTTACCCCCTGTTATCTAGCACAGGTAATCTGTTTAGTGATGTTTAGATCTTCTATTTCTGGAAGAGGACTGGACTAAGTAGAAAATATTTGATTCTTCTTCATTACAGTTTTGAGTTGGAATAGGGTTGAGAATTTTAAACATGTTCAGTGCTTTAAATGCAGCATCTCATCTTTCTGACGTTGAGTATTAATGTTTGTTGTAAAGCTGGTGTTGCAGCAGCTGATTTTCCCCTTAAGTGATAAGATAGATGAAATATTAGAAGAGTTAATATCCTTTGTTTTGGACAGTGTGATACCTGGGACCACCAAATAATTTTGTTATAAGCAGGTGAGGATTTCAAATGCACTTACGAGGTTCACTGAGGAAGAAGCTGATTTCTAACCGTGTCTGGTCCCACAATGGGTGAGGGAATTTCTGGCATAGAAAGGTGCATCACCTTTCCCACATTCAGTGTTACCTGTCATATATATTTACAGGATTCCTAGAGAGTTTTTCAAACTTGAAATGGCCTCTCTGTCTCAGTATCTACTGTTAGAGATGAATATTTTACTTTTGGCGTACTCTGCACTGCTGATCTGGGTCTGGCTTTGCCCAAACTCACGTGTGACATCTTGGGTCAGGTTTTATGTGGGTTAAGTCTGTGAGTGACTTCCAGTGCAAAGGGGAAATCACTTCAGTGGTATTCGTGCAGGTGTTTTAATTTTTCCAGACTTCTTCTGGTTTGCTGGCACCAAGTTTTAAATAGAACCATTTATTGTGTAGATGTGCCATCAGAAAAAGTCCTGGGAAATGTTGCTCCAGCGTGGTTTGGAATGGATTTTTTTTCTGCTAGGATAGAAGACATATTGTGTGTGTCATAGGTACAAAAGCATAAAAGATCAGATCTCTGTTTCACTGCACAATTTATCTTTATAAATAGCAGAGCATGCAAGGTTCTCCCCTGGAAAGTGTTAGGGATTCTGTGATTATGAGCAGCTAGAAGGGAATTTGCCTAACAGAAATCCCTACTTTTCTGTACTTCAGGCATTTACCAGTGTTGTGCACGTAGGTATTTCCCTTCCACGTGCAGCGTGTGATTTCCAGCTGCAGTAACTTTTAGGGAATGGTGATGATTTAAAACCAGAAGTGAAAAACAGCATGTAGATATTCAGCCTGCATTTCAGAGGCAGGGTCCTTTCTGTAGAAAAAGTCAGATAAAAAAGAAACATTCAAGTTGACAACTCCCCTCCCAAGGATTTGGGCACCTTCACTGAGTTTCTTTACAATGTCACTTACGGGCGCTTTGCGCCATTGAAGCTTTGTTTTGCCTTGTATTCTTGGGAAGTGGCACTTTCAGAGGCAGAAATCTGTCTTGAAGGACAAGGAACAATAGTTATCCTGCACACTGGATTTCATCCCTCCCACTTGTTTTGCTTGCTTTCATTTGTTCTTTGTGTAATTCCCCGGCACGTCATTCCATTGCCCCAAACCATAGTAACTGGTGGTAGGAGCCCGTTCCCGGCGGAGCGGGGCCGGCAGCGCGGGATCCCCACTGGGCAAATGTGTCGCTCGGAATGCTCCTCGCTGCCTTCCCTCCCTCCTCTCACACCCAAAGGCAGCTGCTCCGGGGGTTTATTCTTCCTTCCACCCCTTTGTGGGACGGGGGAAGCAGCACTAGCGATCCACGATCCCGGTTATCCTCCCGATTTCCGTGTCTCTTTGCGCTGGAAACGCGGAGCCGGTTTTCATTAGCTCCCCATGGCGGTGCCGGACACCACAAACGGGCTCCTTTCATACATCAGCACCGAGTTGAAAAGCACACGAAAATGTTTTCCCATTTCCAATACCGTGTGAGTAATGTTCCCAATGGAAAGTAATGGAGTGAAGTTGTCACTTGTCAGCACAGTTATTAAGGAGGATGACTCTCAGGTCTTCTTTTCGTAATAAAATAAATCTGTCAAAATCACCGCACCCGTGCGTTCTGTCGCAATAACGGGCTGCGATCTGAATAACTTTTTAAAATTCCCGTATAACTTGATAAAGTCATGAAGGGAGCACTGTGACCTTACTCCTGCAGCAGTTCCAGCCTTGGAGAAAGCCAGGAGAAAGCAGTTCAGGTTTTAGACATCAGTAAAATTCTCCTCATGCTAATTTTTCCAGTCCCCGGCTTTCCTTGCGGTTCCAACTTTCTAACCATCCCAAAGCAGAAAAGTAATAATAAGTTGAAGTCCATATGGTCAAACCCAGCATTATAAAATCACATTTCTAAATAGCTGCTGACATTTCTAAGAACCACACGGGTGTGAATTAAATGTATGCATGAGTATATGAAATTTTTTTAATGAGGAGATGGCACCTTCATTCGCCTTTGGAGGCACCATTGGAAACTTCAGAAACGTGTCCTGTGATGTTGTGGCTCTTCAGACAGGGAAGCTGTAACTCTTTAAACCCAAATGCATTTCAAACTGGGTGGTGGATGGGAAATTTATTCAGGTTTTAGGATGGTTGTGTACTCGTGTATATCCAATTTTGAGCCTCTGTTTACCTGCCAGATTATTTTTTAATTGCCCCGAAAGGAAAAAAAAAAGAAAGGCAAATGAAAGCATCCTCTGCGTCCATTTAATGAAGCACAAACTTTTCTTTTTGCCCTGCAGTCTCGGAAAGGGAGTGACCCAGACAAAGAGAAGAAGGTCCTGGAGAGCAGAACAGACAGCATTGGAAGCGGCCGAGCAATCCCAATTAAACAGGTAATGCCGAAATAGTTGCATTTTTTTTCCCTTCCCTGCTTTCCATAGTTGGGAGACACACCTCGGGTCCGCGGCACGGCGGTGGCGGGGCCGCGCCGAGCGGCGTTTGATGTGCGCCGGTGATGAATGTGGAAGTCACTCACTTGACATCAATTAGGAGAGGTTCCTATGTGTATTAAAATAGGATCATTAGAATAAGAAGAGGGAAAATGTGACAACAGGCCTAATGAAGTGCAGTCTGCCGGCCTGCATATGGAGCGGGTTTCTAGGCTGTGCTGGCTTCAAAGCTGCCTTTGTAGAGGGGGCTTTGATTGGGCCGAGTGCTGCCAGGCGCAGGGTAAATCAGATCGCTCGACAAGAGCCCCTTGTGATCGCAGGAATAGCCTGATGTGGCCCTAATTTGCTACCACAGACGGACATCTGAACACAGTTTCAGGCTGCTCCGTAACAACGAGGCAATTAGTTGTGATAATCATGGCCGGTGTGTCAGCTGCGCGCTCTTGTTTGTAATTTGCTAATGAAGGGATTGTAACTTTGATTAGGTTCAGTTTCATTTAGACCTTATTATATAAGAGAACGTTTACAGCTGTAATGTGTGGCCTTAATTAAACTTTCTCATTACACAACAGGACTTGAAGCCGAGGATTTGTTTTGGTCTGTTTTTACTAGCCTAGATGCACTTTCATTAGCCTGGAAACTCGATGCTAAATTGTAGCTGGGAACACTCCTTTGAAAGGCAGAAGCGGTGCCAGCGTTGGATGGGAAGTATTTGGGGAATGAGATGATTTACTTTCTCAAATGAAATGGCACCGAATCCATGTGGTTGAGCTCTCCACCTTCCCATGGAATGCTTCTCACACAGTTCCTGAGTTAGTGTTCACAAGTGTTTACTCATGTGTGAGAGTTGCCTTGCTAGAGATAAGCTCCCTTTCTTTCCCACTTATTTTCTTCCCACACGTTTCCCTCCAGTTGTTTTGGTGCCTTCCCTGCCCTCCAGAGGCTCACTTGCCTCTCCTAAACCTCAGTCCATGCCTTATCCTGCCAGTAGAAGGATGGCCATCCATCAGTAGCCCTGGATGTCCTGTCTGGAGCTGGGTTTATGTATTTTGGGGCGTTTTGTGGTTTTCCTCTGTTTCTGGATGCGAGGAGGAGTTGATTTTGTACCCTTAACTATCAGCTGTGATTTTTCTTCCTAAAGTCATTCTAAAAGACCTTTTGGGACCATCAGGCAGCAAAAATGCTGTCGTGTGTGAATCTCTAGTAGGCAAATTTTAATCAAGCACGCTGCAGTCCAGAAGAGCAGTTTGAAAGCAGAGGAGCTCAGTATTTGGCTCTGCATTCAGGGGAGGAGATTCCAGGCATTTAAAGCAAGCTACAATTTTATTTTCCTACAGCTTTTGTATGGTACAGCATGAGTTAGACCAGCTGCAATCCTTTTGGGTAATGCTAATTAAACAAAAGTGCGTCTGAGAGTGTAAAACTGAGGAATAGATGTGCCAGTATTTATTCCAGGCATACATACTGTTCTTTCCTAAAATGCTGTTGTATGGAATTAATTTGATTAAAACAACACTCACAGGAAGAGTGCTGTAAGATAAACACTGTAAGTGTGTGCCACAGTGTGTTGTAAAGGAATATCCCTTAAAATACCTGGAATTTCAGTATGGAAAAATTCTCCTTGCAGTCCTGCTTGTATACCAAATATGACCAATCTTTTGGGAATGTGTCCTTCTTGTTACTAATCCCAATTATGGTAATTTCATTTTGTCATGTACAGGCCATTACCCACAAATCCTTGATGTGCGTCCTCAGCAGATCCATCCCGTGCTTTGGGGATGGGAGGTTGGGAGGGTTTTGCAGTGCTGTAGGGTGGCTGCTCCCAGTGGGATTTCATATCACACTCAGATGTCAGGAGGGGACGGGTTTGGGGGTCTGGTCAGTCGAGGTGGGACCAGGTTCAGTTGCTGGGGGGCTCGACAGAAATTCCTGCTAGGAAAGTTGGTATCTTTTATTTCATGCTTTAACTGGGAATAAGACAGAGGGATGTGGAAGGGAACTTCGCAACTTGGTGCTGCTGTTCCTCTTAAGATGAGAAACCCCTTCCATCATGATGTTTTCTATGGCAAATGGAGTCACTGAGACATTTAAGGTTGGAAAAGCTCTCTAAGATCACTAAGTCCAGCGTTGAAACAAGCACTGCCAAAGCCACCACTAGCCCATGTCCTCATCCTCAAGCACTGCATCCTCTCATGGATTTTGGATCCCTCCAGGGATGGGGACACCACCACTGCCCTGGGAACCTTTGCCAGTGCCTGACCAGCCTTTCTGTGAAGAAATTTTTCTTAATATCCAACCTGAACCTTCTCTGGTGCAACTTGAGGCTGTTTCTTCTTGTCCCGTCTCTCATCGCTTGGGATATTTGAGAAAAGAAATCTGGTTTCAGGCTGCAGCATTCCCAGGATTGATGTGGGAGTATAAAACTAAACAACAACAAAATCCCCAAACAAACAACAAAACCAAACCCTACAACACCCCACAAACAAATGCTAAAACCTCCAGCCAAAACAAGTTCCTTGGCGGCTGGAAATGTTCGGGTTTCGAGGAAAAAATGGAATCTCTACCAGCCCTATGAACGAGTTGCTGATCATTGTGGGACCCAGCTATGGACCTGCACAGCTGCCACTGGGTTTTGGGCAAAAGAAGCCAAGAGTTGGCAACCTGCTCCTGCATTCCTTTTCTTGGTGCCTGAATCCCTGTGAGTTTAAGGGAAATCCCTAAGAGTTTGGAGCAAACCTGGTCTAGGGGAAGGTGTCCCTGCCCATGGCAGGGTGTTGGAAGGAGATGGACTATAAGGTCTATTCCAACCCAAACCATTCCAGGATTGCACTCCATGAAGGAGGTAAAATTGTGAATTGTCCATTTCCTTTCTAAGGAAATTACCTTAGAAAACTACCTCATTCCTTCATGGCTTTATCCTTAACTCAGAGCAGCCTGGTCAAAAAGAGTTAATGTTCTTATTCTCTGTGTCCTTTCTACATGGTAAAACTGATTTTTCACTGCAGTGCTAAATTTGCTTTTATTGGGCTAAGCCATGTAAAATTATCCTGATGACCCTTCCTGCTCCCAGCAGAAACCCAAAATGTGGGCAATGAAAAGCAGGTTTGTTTTTAAAGGGTGGCTGCTTGCTCCTGCCAAACTACTCTTAAAGTAAGTGAAATTTTGGGAAGGCAGATTTCCTGGGAAGGTACCAGTATCTTGTGCATGCACAGCCATATCAGCATGTCCTAAATCCTGGGCTTTTAGCAGCTGCTGAGAACTGGGAATGTCAGAATTGGAAAAAAAAATAAATATATATATATATATATACAAAATTTCATTTGTGTGCTTTTTAAAGATCTTGTGCAAATCAAACAGAAAAATTCATGAGCAATATTGGCTTCAAGTTAAAATCCAGTAGGATTCTTTTCTGAGAAAAAGGTGCTCAAACTAAGAATATTTAAGCTATTTTCTGTAGCATTGCTAATAATATTCTTAAAGCAAGTGGCTTGCTCTGGTTGGAGAATCCTTCCTCCAAACCCATTTATTCTGGAAAAAAAGTCTTGTTCCTGGTAGACTGAGTGAATATTTTGAAGCACACATTGAGCTCCACAGTTTGGGAGAATTGACTTTCTAGGATGGGAGGTTTTGTAGCGTTTTGGGAAAATTAATTTGGTTTTTGTGGGTTTGGGAAATCTTTATATCAATAGGGCATATTCAAATTTTAAAAAAAATGAACACAACAAGAAAAATAAAAGCAAGAAGCTTAGCTCAGCGGTGAGGGGGGCTTGTCATGTATTAATTTTTCATTGCTGTGGAGAATTGTACATACATAATCACTTGATTGCAGTGGGAGTTAGCGAGCTCCTATGGTGTCATTTGCATAAATCTTGTTAAGTCAATGGCAGTTAATGAAGTACAAATGAGCCTGGAGAAGGTGACATGCAAATCGTGGGTGGCAGATGGGAGGTCTGTTTTTGGGATGGCAGCTGTGTGCTCTTGCTTTTTTTTCTTTTTTTTTTTTTTTAATTTTTATTATTTTTTCCTCTGTCCTGCCCCCATCCCCCCCAGACTGGAATGTAAATAAATACAAAGAACTGGCCTTGACTTTCTGCTCACAGCCCTTCTTCTCTTTGCCCTTTGCACTTAATCACAGATGCTCACATCATTCTATACTCCAGCTACATAACCTTGACTGTTCTTTTACCAAAAACTTGCCAAAATTGGTGTTTGACACATTGCCTCCACCCTTGGCTTAGCCTGGGAGGGTTCTGCACCTCTTGTGCCCCAAATTGCTGCATCATTTAGGGATGACAAACTGGAAGCCTGGATTAGAAATAAATGTTCTAATGGTTAGTGCTGTATTGATGACACAGTGAAAAATTTGCCATCCATGACTTGCAAAGGTGAACTTCAGAATCCATTCTCTTCCCTCAGTTTGCAAATGGCTGGATTAATGGAGAAAGTGGAATATCTTATTCAGGCTTTACTTTTAGGTGATATTTCAAATGACCTTCTTTGCCTGCCAGCTTGGCATATTTAAGTACATTAAAGTAATCTTAATGAAATCAGGTATTTTGTCTTTTTTTTTTTTCCCCTCTGACCTAAAAATGGCAAATATTTTTTATGTCAAGGCATGGGGGTGGCATCACTGATTTGCTATTCATGAAGAAGGGTTTGATTCCTGGATGCACAAATTGCAGTTTTTCCTTAAGATGGGCATAAACAAAGCTGGCACATCCCAACATACATCTGAATTTTATAAAAAAATTCATTAAACTCAGCAAAGGTAACTTTGAAGATGCTCTCATCAAATGTCAAACTTGGCATAAAAAAACCTGTCACTTCTCCTCAGCTCCCTGCAGGTGTAGGTCAGTGTTGCCTCTGTTTCAGTAGTGATTTTCTACTTCCTCTGTGATTTCCTTCTTCCTGACCTCATTTGTGTTCATTTTTAGCCCTAGTTG